GGTCTGCCGTTCCAGTACCCACTCCACCATTACATGCCCGTTCATCAACCCATCTATTCCCCCCTGCCCCGAGCCATCCCAGCCCAAATCCACCAGCTATGTCCCGCGTCTCCTAGACATCCCAACCACCCCTTTCCCACCCACTTCCAACTACCACCGCCACCCAGCTCCCTCTGACAGCCAGGTCTGCGCCGGCTTCAACACGGGCAGATGCTCAAGGCAACGCTGTCGTTTTTTGCACGTTTGCAATTTTTGTGGTGGTGCCCATGCCCGCTTGATATGCCCAGTGAAAAAAGCCGCAAATAAAAATGCTAAAAGATATTTATCGACTCCTGTAAATGTTTCTTGTTTATCTTCAGAATTACTTCATCACCCCGACCCCCCTTTTACGGATTATCTACTATCGGGTCTTTCACACGGCTTTCACCCCGGCGTTGAAAATCTCCCTTCCCAAAGCCTCATCTGCCCCAATCTCCAGTCCGCTCTCGCCGAACCCGAAACAGTCGACCTCCTAATCAAAAGAGAAACAGACGCAAAATTTATGATCGGCCCCTTTTCCGTTCCCCCCTTTAAAGTTTTCCGCGTTAGCCCCATCGGTATAGCTACCAGGAAATTCTCAGGTAAAAAACGCCTCATAATCGATCTCTCATCCCCGCATAATTCCCCGTTCCCAAGCATTAACAGCCTCATTCCGCCCGAAGAATTTTCTCCCCCCTACCATGACGTTGACCAAGCCATTACCCTGATCAAAGACGCAGGTCGCGGCGCTTGGCTGGCCAAAGTCGACATCACCTCTGCCTTTAAAGTGATGCCCATCCACCCGGATTTTTGGCACTTATTCGGCATCCGCTGGCGTAATAAATTTTACTTTTCCGTCCGCCTGACTTTCGGCTGCAGAAGCAGCCCGAAAATTTTCGGGAGACGTGTGCAAAACAGGTGTGTCTGTAAGTCTGTAAACTCACATACTGAAATGTCCACTAGGTGTCAGCCTCATACAGAAACTCTGAGTTAGTGAGAACACAAAGTTGCTGTGAGTTAGATAAACACCTTTACAAAATAAAACTACCATAATACACAAGTGTAACTTGCACATGGACATTATACATACGCAGGGTTTGACACTAACTTTTTCACTCACAAGCCAGTTTATCTATTAAATAAGTTCCTTTTGGAGTGGACTTGAATGGACGCTGATGCTATGAGATCCTGGTGAGATCCCGCTATGAGGTGTTGAGATCCTGGAAGAACCCTTATTTGGCTCGTTCCCATAACCCAGCTATGTCCAGTTATTAGATGATTGTGATTCTGCATGAGCAAGTTATGGGGCGATGTCCAGCGTTGAAGAGGCCTTTCCTTCCAAGCCCTGTAGAGTTACATCTGGGTTGGTTGGCAAGGCATATACAGAGGCAGGTCAGAACCATAGGGTGCAGGGTCACACCATCCTGACCTCCTAAAAGAGCTGGACCATGGTGAGAGATTAGATCCAGAGACGGATCTCACCCTCTGCGCCACCAAACAAACGGCTCATGCTATCAGTCACTGGATGGCTGTCCTGGTTGTTACAGAGAGGCATCTGTGGCTCACAGGAATCAAGGAAAGGGCAAAGCCTTTCTTTTGGTCGCCACTATTTCACCTCTTGGCTCATTCAGTGAAAGCAGTTAATACTGTCATTGATAGCTTCCAGGAGACTGAGAGCAGTCATCTTTCAGAGAACTGATCCTGTTGTAGAGAAAAGTCTTCTCTTCTTTGAACAAATTACTCAAATCACAGAGCTCCAGATGCCAAAATCAGACTTTATTGGTGGAAACAACAAAGCCGAGATGCCAGCTGAACATCTGACCATCCTTTCGAGATCCTCCGTTTGTATGCAGTATCTTCAACATTTTTCATCTTTAAACACATTCAAAGATGATATATGCTGAAGATACTGCGTAAACTGTGGTTAAAGATAGTGCTAAGTTATTTGTATTAGTGACACTTTTATTCACAGTAGATCGTTGGTGTGACAGTCTACTGTAAACTGCATTAAACAGAACATTTTACCCTTACGCAAAGAAAATATTTTCTGATATATTAACAAACAATATATTAATTTATTTGTTGTATATAGAAAATGTACTGAATAATACATTGTGTTAATATGTTCCAATAGAGTAATACATAATAATTTGCTGCTTTTCATATATTGAAAAATATGTGAATATATTTACTTATATATAGTAATATGTAAATTTTATATTCAATAACATCATTCATAAAATATAGATGTGTATGTAATAAAATATGGCACTGTGTGTGTAGATATATTTTGAACATACATGTACCATATACATTCACATTTGGGAACATGCATGTACAATTATTTGCAAAAGAATGAGGATTCAGTAGCGAATGTGCAAAACAACGTTTATTGGAATTCCCAAAGGAAGATGACCAAAGTCAGATGGGTAAAAGGTGGAGGAAACTCCGGGTAGTGCAGGAACACAATGAGCAGCCGATGATCGAGGATCCGTGCAGCGAAGCCCATGGCAGAGGAAAGGAGGAAACTCCAGGAACTGGTCAAAGAACAGAGAGACACGAACTGGACAGGGTGAGGACATAAAACGATCTGACAACACAGGACAGAAATCACAGACCTTAAATAGGCCAGCTGATCAGCCACAGCTGGCGCTTAATTAGCTGATGGCGCTGATCACTGGCAACACAAACCACACCCACAATGACACGGAGAGGGCTAGAATGAGTCAGTGAGCCCATGAACCGTGACAGGACCCCTCCCCCTAGGAACGCCGCCTGGCGCTCCCAGACAAACCTACCTGTTGATTGTAATTATCAATAAGGGAGTGGTCCAGAATGTCCCTAGCAGGAACCCAACTTCTCTCTTCCGGACCGTAACCTTCCCAGTCCAGCAAGTACTGAAATCCGTGTCCCCTATGTCTTGAGTCCAGAATGCGGTTAACCGAATAGGTGGGCTCCCTGTCTACGAGACGCGACGGTGGGGGAACCGGGGCAGGCGGATTAATGGGTGAACGAAAAACGGGTTTTAATTTGGAGACATGGAACACGGGATGTATTCTCCTGTACGCCAGAAAAAGTTTGAGGCGGACTGCCACCGGACTAAGAACTTTGGTGACAGAAAACGGGCCAATAAATTTGGAAGCTAGCTTATTACAAACAGATCGGAGAGGAATATTCTTGGAGGAAAGCCACACCTTTTGACCAACGACGTAAACGGAAGGCTTCGACCGGTGGCGATCGGCCTGAGCCTTGGTGCGCGTCCTCACTTGGAGAAGAGTCTCTTGGGCTCTTTTCCAAGTGCAACGGCACCTCTGGACGAAGGCGTGAGCGGAGGGGACCGTGACTTCGGATTCCAGACTGGGAAAAATAGGTGGCTGGTACCCTAAGCTACATTCAAACGGAGATAGGCCCGTGGATGACACTGGTAACGAGTTGTGTGCGTACTCCACCCATGAGAGTTGTTGGCTCCAGGAGGAATGAGTAACCAAACATCGCAACGTTCTCTCAAGATCCTGGTTGACCCGCTCCGATTGGCCGTTACTCTGTGGATGGAAACCAGAGGATAGACTGACACTCGCCCCCTGTAATCTACAAAACTCCTTCCAAAATTTGGAAACAAACTGGGGTCCCCTGTCGGAAACCACGTCCATCGGGAGGCCATGAATGCGAAAGACGTGATCAACGACAGTAACCGCTGTCTCCTTGGCTGAGGGTAATTTGGGCAAGGGAATGAAATGGGCCCCCTTCGAGAAATGGTCCACTACGGTCAATACCACCGTATTGCCCTGGGAGGGCGGGAGGGCAGTGACGAAATCGAGCGAGATGTGGGACCAGGGTCTCGAAGGGACCGACAGCGGTTGAAGTAACCCGTCAGGGGGTCGATTGGAAGTCTTGCCACGAGTGCAATGTGAGTAGGCCTAAACAAAATCTCGGACGTCACGAGCCATAGAAGGCCACCAGAATCGCTGTCTTACGAGGAAACTAGTCCGATTCACCCCTGGATGACAAGCCACGCGGGAACAATGACTCCACCGAATGACATCGGACCGTAACCTCTCCGGCACAAATAACCAACTCGGTGTGCAACCGGGCGGAGGCGTTACCCCTTCTAAGGCCGTGCAGACCTTCGACTCGACCTCCCATATGAGAGCGGAGATGACGAGTCTCTCAGGCAAAATACTCTCGGGAGTGGACAGGCGGTCGGAAAGTTCAAAAACGCGAGACAACGCATCGGGTTTGATGTTCTTAGAACCCGGGCGATAGGAAAGAGTAAAGTCGAAGCGACCGAAAAAGAGTGCCCACCGAGCCTGCCTGGAGTTAAGTCGTTTGGCGGATCTGATGTACTTGAGGTTCTTGTGATCGGTCCAGACAATAAAGGGTACCCCCGAACCCTCTAACCAATGACGCCATTCTTCCAGCGCTAACTTGACCGCCAACAACTCTCGGTTACAAATGTCATAGTTACGTTCGGCAGGTGAATAAACGATCTGAAAAAAAAACACGCAAGGATGCATCTTGTCATCCGAGGAAGAGCGCTGGGATAGCACCGCACCTACCCCCACTGACAAGTGGAGTCAGGGGTTACGAGAATGGGAGCCGAAAGAAAGCGGCTCTTGAGGTTGGTAAATGCAGCTTCGGCTGCACCAGACCACCTGAACATAGTCTTAGTGGAGGTCAAGGCAGTCACAGGAGCGGCTAGTTGGCTGAAATTGCGAATGAAATGCCGGTAGAAATTGGCGAACCCCAGGAACCTCTGTAGGGCCTTACGGGACCCTGGGGTTGGCCAATGCACCACAGCCTTAACCTTGTCGGGTTCCATGCGCATTCCCTCAGACTAGATGATGTACCCCAAAAACGGAACTGACTGTGCATGAAACGCGCACTTCTCCGCCTTGACAAAAAGCCCATTCTCGAGCAGCCTCTGGAGCACTCGTCTGATGTGCTGAACGTGTTCCTGGAGAGAAGAGGAAAATATCAATAGGTCATCCAGGTAGACATATATGAACTGATCATCCATGTCTCTCAGCACATCATTCACGAGTGCTTGGAAAACCGCGGGGTAGTTGGATAACCCGAAGGGCATAACAAGACATTTAGTGCCCTCTGGGGGTATTAAACGCGGTTTTCCACTCACCCCCCTCCCTTATGAGGACCAAATGATAAGCATTACGCAAATCTAGCTTGGAAAAGATGGACGCCCCCCTGCAACCGCTCGAAAGCTGATGACATCAACGGCAAAGGGTAAGAATTCTTAACCATGATGTCGTTTAACCCCCGGTAATCGATGCATGGTCGCAGAGAACCATCCTTCTTGGCCACGAAAAAAAACCCCTGCCCCAGCGGGAGAAGAGGAGGGGCGGATGAGCCCGGCTGCTAGAGAATCAGAAATATATTTCTTCATGACCTCCCTTTCTGGAACAGGAAGCGAATATAACTTGCCCTTAGGCGGAGACGTACCTGGCACTAGATCTATGGCACAGTCATAGGGACGATGCGGAGGAAGAGAAGCAGCCCGGGACTTACTGAACACTTCCTTCAGGTCAAGGTACTCCTCGGGCACGTTAGACAGATTCACCGGCTTTTTCTGCAACAAAGTAGAAGATACAGAAGAACAAGCAGACATCAGACAAGAAGCATAACATGAGTCGCTCCACACCAATATGGAGTTACGCCCCCAATCCACCCTGGGACCATGCTGGACCAGCCAAGGATGACCAAGGACAATAGGCACCACAGCTGGCGCTTAATTAGCTGATGGCGCTGATCACCGGCAACACAAACCACACTCCCACCCACAATGACACGGAGAGGGCTAGAATGAGTCAGTGAGCCCATGAACCGTGACACCATGTTGCCATGACTTTAACAAGGCATCCAATCGTCCAAAATGACAAAACTTCTAATATTTGTTTCAGTAAATCTTTCAGGTATTTTTCTTATGTACCATCATACATATTTTGATATACCAAATGTGGATCTATGCAAACAATAACATGAGATAATATGTGTTCAGCTTTATGTAAAATCAAGCATTAACTCTTTAATTCTTGAGAAATTAATTGAGTTTCATTAAAGCTATTACATGTAAAAATGTAGTTAAATTTTCTTCATTGCTACAAATGTATTTTTATATGTATCAATATACAGCCATATATGGTCCATTAATATATTGCAGTATATTGAAAAACATAAGCACTAGTTTCCCATATATGGGAATGTATTAATATATTGCATTATATTTTCCAGTATATTTCCATTTATTTCTGTTTTGTAAGTTTAGACATGTTTGAAAAACCGCGGGGGAGTTGGATAACCCGAAGGGCATAACAAGATATTCAAAGTGCCCTCTGGGGGTATTAAATGCGGTTTTCCACTCATCCCCCTCCCATATGCGGACCAAATGATAAGCATTACGCAAATCTAGCTTGGAAAAGATGGACGCCCCCCTGCAACCGCTCGAAAGCTGATGACATCAACGGCAAAGGGTAAGTATTCTTAACCGTGATGTCATTCAGCCCCCGGTAATCGATGCATAGTCGCAGAGAACCGTCCTTCTTGGCCACGAAAAAAAACCCCTGCCCCAGCGGGAGAAGAGGAGGGGCGGATGAGCCCGGCTGCTAGAGAATCAGAAATATATTTTTTCATGACCTCCCTTTCTGGAACAGGAAGCGAATATAACTTGCCCTTAGGCGGAGACGTACCTGGCACTAGATCTATGGCACAGTCATAGGGACGATGCGGAGGAAGAGAAGCAGCCCGGGACTTACTGAACACTTCCTTCAGGTCAAGGTACTCCTCGGGCACGTTAGACAGATTCACCGGCTTTTTCTGCAACAAAGTAGAAGATACAGAAGAACAAGCAGACATCAGACAAGAAGCATAACATGAGTCGCTCCACACCAATATGGAGTTACGCCCCCAATCCACCCTGGGACCATGCTGGACCAGCCAAGGATGACCAAGGACAATAGGCACCACAGCTGGCGCTTAATTAGCTGATGGCGCTGATCACCGGCAACACAAACCACACTCCCACCCACAATGACACGGAGAGGGCTAGAATGAGTCAGTGAGCCCATGAACCGTGACACCATGTTGCCATGACTTTAACAAGGCATCCAATCGTCCAAAATGACAAAACTTCTAATATTTGTTTCAGTAAATCTTTCAGGTATTTTTCTTATGTACCATCATACATATTTTGATATACCAAATGTGGATCTATGCAAACAATAACATGAGATAATATGTGTTCAGCTTTATGTAAAATCAAGCATTAACTCTTTAATTCTTGAGAAATTAATTGAGTTTCATTAAAGCTATTACATGTAAAAATGTAGTTAAATTTTCTTCATTGCTACAAATGTATTTTTATATGTATCAATATACAGCCATATATGGTCCATTAATATATTGCAGTATATTGAAAAACATAAGCACTAGTTTCCCATATATGGGAATGTATTAATATATTGCATTATATTTTCCAGTATATTTCCATTTATTTCTGTTTTGTAAGTTTAGACATGTTTGTTTATGATGTCAGTCTGCTTATAATGTTACTCGATGGTTATTGCACCAAACTATTTATAATGTAGTCTTGACCATTTCCTTTCTCTCTGCCTGTATTTATGAGTATATCTTTATTACTGCAATATGTAGTTGTTACTGTAACGGGGCTGACGAGACGTGAGACGTGTGGATCCATCTGCAAGCTTTTATTTCAGAGACGTGGTCATAACAGGCAGGGTCGAACAATGGCAAACAGGTATGTGGCGGGCAAAACACAAGAATAGTCCTAGGGCTAGCGTAGGTCAACGATTGGCAGACAGAATCACAGGGGCGAGACGAGAGGGATAAATCCAGGGAAACAGGCAAGGATCAGAAACCGAGAAAACAGGCAAGGCAAGGCAAAACAAGGAAACACAGAGACTCGGAATAGGGTACAAGCTAAACAATATTCAGCAGAGAATGGTAGTTTGAGTGAGTGTTATATAGTGAGTGAGTGATAAGAAACAGCTGTGCAATCAGTGCTGTGTGCAATCAGTGAAACAGCTGTGTGCAATGAGTGCTGTGTGCAATCAGTGCAATGAATGATGGGATATGTAGTCAGGGGTGATATGCAACAGTCTGTGTTGTACGAGAGTCAATGTAATCAAAGGGTGACCTCTGGTGGTGATTGAACGGAAGTCCATGGACAGGATTCGTGACAGTTACAACTGACTAACGATTCGGTCGTTTTGAGCTCATGAAACACAGATGCTCTTTTTGAGGAGGGAACTTCATGTTTCTTATTTTGACAATACCATTGTTTACCTTCAAAAGATACATTTCAATTTACATGGAGACATTTATCAGATGTTAAAACAAGGCTTATGATGCACAATTAAATATAGTCTTACCATTAGACACATGCCATCATAGTACCATGCTTCTGTCATAATGAGCAAGAGAAAAGGTGATATCCCTGAAATGATTCTTTGATGAAACAGTTTGTTTCACGTGGAAACGTATTATTATTATTATTGTATATTTTAGTAAATTCTGCCTTGTTCACAAGCATTACATAATTATTGTAAATTATCATGATAACATCTGATTATTGTTGTCTATTTGATAAATAAACTTGGCATTTTCTCTGTTCATCAGCTGAGAGACCAGATCAATCAGATGTTACATTTTGAAACGTGGAGTTATCTGCTTTAGCTAAAAAACAAACTTTTAATAGGTTATATAAAAACACATACATTCAATGAACTTTAATTTTGTAAGTTACTTGTTATTATTTAATCTAAACAACCCAACTGCAGATTGACTGATATTACTTGGAATACAAAAAAAAAAAAAAAAAAAAGTTTTTTAAAAAAAAATAAAAAAATTTTGTAAGTTACTTGTTATTATTTAATCTAAACAACCCAACTGCAGATTGACTGATATTACTTGGAATACAAAAAAAAAAAAAAAAAAGAGATTTCTGAAAATAAATTAAAAATGTTAGTTAAGAGTTAAAAAGAGTTTTATGTTTTTGCAAACAAACTTTTCATTTGTTCTTTTGCCTGGTCATGTCTACAGAAACAGCTTTTCTTGAAGCTCAGATTTATGAATATGTGGAGATTTTGGGGGTAAGCAGTCTGCCTGCTGTAGTTTTATATTTAGTTTCCTCTTATTTCACATTTATACTATAGGCTAATATTTGCAAAATATTTACACTGAATATACACTACCACAACATTAAAACCACTGAGAGATGAAGCAAATAACATTGATTATATCGTTACAATGGCATCTGTGAAGGGGTGTGATGTATTAGGCAGTGTATATATATATATAT